CACACACACACACACACACACACACACACACACACTGAAACCTCACATCCTCATAAAGACTCTCAGAATCACAGCAGTGATCCATCACTCCTGTCAAACAACCAACACTGAACCTGCAGGTTTTAACAAACGTAGAACCTGTAAACAGTAACGAGTGTTTGTTTGTTTTTACTCGCAGCTGATGAACGACAGACGACGTGAAGCTGCTGATGACTGTGACGTTTGTGGACGAAGGGAAACGGGACAGCGTTGTATCCTGACACGGCATCACTGCCAGTGCTCAGGCCTCCACAGAAAACAATAGCTGTGGGTGTGTGGACACACGTCACTCTGCACCAGTCTGAGCTGCACTTTATGTAACACACATTCCTGGAGCCTTCGGAGCGTTTACACTCAAACGTACACAAAGCAAATGTTTTTATTGTTATTATTTCTGGCAATCTTAGTTACCGTAAGTCAGCTACCCGACATCAAACAGCAACAACTCGAGAATCATTCTTTAAGTTCGTTTTTTTATTTTTCTCCATCAAATTTTGCTCCTAAGTTCTGCACTGCAAACAATTAACCTGAGAATTATAAGTTCATTGCTAAATCTTCTTAACTCCTACAGAGACCTAAAACAACAGCTGCACAAATTATTCTTTGTGAAAATTTTATTTAATTTAACATTTGATTTAAAAAAAATAAAAAATTTCAGCTCCTATGAAAAAATTTCACGTGCCTAAAAATAAATCTGCAATTACGATAAAGATTCTTGTCAAAAATTAGAATCTAATGATGAGGGTTAAAGAATAAAAAATATTTTAAAAGAAAACTTTGTAAATATTAAAGTTGCATTTTATTACTCAGCACAAAACTGTTTCAACAACGCTCCATTTTTTGTCCTTTTTTTGTCTTTTTTTGTTTTTGTCACTTCAGTAGAAAATGAAACCAAATATTAGTTTATTAAGTTTATTTATTTCTTCATCACCAGTGACTTTTTTTAAGTGAAGAGAAAATAGAGACAGAGAGAAAAACAGAGAGAGAAGTAATTAGAAAGATAAAAAGATTGAAATAGCGATTAGAAGCATATTAAATTTACACCAACAAAACACAGGACCACACACCAAAAAAATAAATAAATAAAAAAACGCTCCGTTTCACTGATGATGAAGAAATTAAGAAACTAACATTCAGTTCTGTTTTCTACTGAAGTGGCCAAAAAAAGTGAGATTCTATATGAAACTGACCATAATGTTTGACACTAATTTACAATTTTGTGTGTATTTATATTATAAATATTTAAATAAATAACCATATATTGTTTATTTAGCTGTAATTTGTAAGCTTTTTATATATGTTGTCTTTGATTGGGTTTAAATGTTGCATTTGTCAAGTGAATATTGATTATCTGAAATGGGTGAAACACACAAAATAAAATCTTAACCTTCCTCAGGTTTATTTTGTGTCCCTGAAAATACAATTTTATATCAATTGGTCCAAAAATTCATAGATGGAAGAGCTGTTTTGCTGTCTGCACCTCAATGTTTCTGTATAAAGTGTGAAGGTTTAAAATATTTTGCTGCAGAACTAATTTCTACTGAAATAAACTGTTTTCTTGTTGCATCTGTGAGGTAAAGACCAAAAGAAAAGATTACAGCTGATAGAAGTGAAGTTTTTTAAAGAACTGCAGCTTTTTCTCCTGGATTCTCAACAAGGAACAAATCCAGACTTGATTTCAAACTCAGTCTGGATGGTCAAAATCTAAAATCTGACTTCTTACAGGTTTCACGTTTTAAAGGAGCGACCTTTGACCCGACTGTCTTTTTGCTACAGTTACCTGGAAGTCGTTCATCAGGCCGAACTGGCAGCCGCCCTCCTTGCAGATGGAGAAGTCGTATCCGAGCTTGCAGGCGGCGTCGGTGCAGTTCACCGTGTCGCTCACCGTGTCGTTCTGATCTCCGGTCGCATCTCTAATGATACAGGAACCTGATCCACGAAAGCAGAATCTTTGTATGGTTTAAGTTGTTTCACATAAACTTACTACAATGTTTAATTCATATAATATAACAAGAGCTTTTAAACTGATAACCACTATGTTTAGATTATAAAAATAAATCAAGCTGAAAGTGTAAAGAAATATCATCCAAATTAAAGTTGTAGTTGAGTGGGAACCTGTGGAGATAGCAACGGCCACGTAGGTGACTCCTGTGATGAGGATGGCCAGCAAGGTTCCTTTAGGGATTGCAGACTGAGGGTCCTAATGTTCAAGAAAACATCAAAGGATTCATATTTATTATGTGACAAACATTAATCTGTAAATCTCATTTAAAAACTGGGTTATTTTATATAAAACAAATAGAAAGACAAATGTTAGAAATATGACATCCATTGACCCCGATGACAAAGTTTCGTTATGTCTTTGTCTTCCTGGTTGGTAAAACTACTACCTAAAGCAAAGAATCTTTGCAGATTATTTGTAGTTGTTGATATAAACTATTAGCTCTGGCAAGTTGTCTGCGGTTTGAGCTAATTTAGATCAAATCTAAAGCTATCAAAACATTTTCAAAGTTGTTTCATGTTTTTAACTCATTACAAACGAGTATTTTAGAGTGACTTTATTATGTTAGTTCCAAAGAAGCATGTTGAAAAGGATCACTTTTTAAATACGAAACAGAAATTTTTAGTCTTTGGTTGGAGTTCTATCAGTGTGAGCTGCTTCATTTGAATTAAAGATTGTACGGAGGAGAAATAGTTTGGGGGTCTAGGATGGAGCCTTGCGGCACACCACAGTAGCTTTTAGTGAACAAGGAAAATTATTAAAACAAAAGCACTTAATTAACCTGGATGTCTGTTAGAAAGCTGAACCCAAAGTATCTAAAAGCACAAAACTTAAAAACCAGAACCCACAATGAGATCACCGGAGATGTTGGCTCCGGCCAGGATCCCGGTGGCTGCAGGGAAGAAAATGGCAAACACAGAAAAAAACGTCTCCTCGTCTCTGAAATCTGGACCAAAGTTCTCCAAGAGGATGGCAGCTGGAAGAGACGAGAGCCAAAGCAAAGTCTTATCATCTACTAATTTAAATTTCATTTAAATACAACTAAATGTGCAGCAACAGTAAAAATGCTGACTCACCTTGGTAGCCAAAGAATCCTTTGGGCTCTTTGTTGTCTGCTGGCATAAAGGTTCCTAAAAAGAAGTTGACAATGGCTGCCAGCAGGATTACAAGGAGGACGATCTGGGCCTGACGGGTCAGGAACAAAAGGAGAAGGTGAAGGCTATATTTATAATAAATACAATCTTTTCCACTTTGGTAAACCCAACAAGAAGCTAAAGCTAATAAAACGCATTTAACAATTACATATTATCACTTCATGTTTTTGGGTTTGTAGACTTCTAAATAAACTCTGGCTCCTCTGTTTGATGCCAATATTGAGTTAAACTTGTCTTAAAATATTTAGGTTTTATTCTGTTTGATGTTGTGCTGGTTAGATGCTAAGGAGGCTCTGTTTAACGCTAATGGTATTATACGTTTGGCAAATAGATAAAACAAACTTTGATCTTCTAAAGTTAGGTCTGACAAAATTAAGGTTAAAGTTAGACTTAATCTTGTGTCAAACACTGACAGCTTTACTTCATCATATGAAGTTTTGAACTTTTTTTATGCCCAGTAGCTTCAGACTTGCTAGCATTGCTAATTTTTGACCACTTTTGTTGAGATGCTAACAGGAAGGGTTTGTAATATTCAGTTCTTACCTTGGCCTCCCACTCCATGCCGGCCACAGAGATCCCCAGCAGCAGGATGATGGTCAGAGTCCCAACGATCCGGATGTCGTTCAGCTCATCGGTCATCAGAGCGTCGACATCCTGCAGCCAATGAGAAATGACGTTAGGCTGAATTCTCCCCATTCGCAGAGATATTTTATTTAAACCAAACAAATCCTTACGTTCAGCATCTCGACAACGGTCTCAGCAAAGCCAACGACGTACATGGCCACGGCCACTGCGTTCGCAAAGGCGAAGATGAGACCAATGGATCCGCCGAATTCAGGACCCAGACTTCTGGAGATCAGGTAGTACGCGCCTCCTGGAAGCCATGGATTTGAAGTTACAGCTCAGTCGAATCAAATATGATTCAGTGGGTTTCCAGCCCTCTCGATGGTCTAGACCAGAGGAGCACAAAGTGGGGCCTGCGGGCCAAATTTGGCCCACCAACCTATTTGATTTGGCCCATCAGCAGTTGACATTGTTACTCAGTTGTAACCTGTCGTCCTATGTAGAAAATGTATTTCCACTTTGTCATTTTATCCATTGTTCCAATGACTATATAAGGGGCTGTGGTACAGATAGCTTTCACTCATGATTCTGACTTCATCTTTGATATAATAAGATTAAACATAAAATGTGAAATACAAGTAAAATGTGATATTTAGATTAGATTTAACCTCACATGTAGATTTGCACAATTTATAAGGCCAGAAAAACTAATATTTTATCAATTTACAAAATTTCCCATGAGCCTTTGCTACTTGAGCATATGGCAGACTTTCTCCAAGTGCCCAGACTAAAACTAAAGCAGGCCACCACACTGGCTGCTAGCTTAATCGTTACAAAATAAAGGACTTTACTAAAATAGTATTTGTATTTCATGTACTATAGTACTGCATTTGGCCCGCAGCCCTGGATAGACTCTCATTTTGGCCCTCTTGGGGAAAATGTTTGGGCGCCCCTGGTCTAGACAGCATTAGTTGTGCTGGTTTTCCACAAATTATCCAATTAATTTATTCATAATTTATGAGTCATAATTAAGTTAATAGATGTGGTTCTGAAAACCCAGAAAGCTAAAGCACTTTGGCAAAGAAAATACTTTTAAAATTCAGTTTTGCAGACAAATCCAATCAGTTTGAACTAAACAGATCTGTCATTAATGCATTCACAATACTGAGATTTTTTTTCTTCTGTTCATTTTTCAGCATAAATATTGTTCTGCAATTTCTGTGCCACTTTAAAAATGTATATATCAAAATGTTCAGCTTCTTCGGGACATTCATGCTATGACTTTTGGTATTTAAGCAACTTATACTTTTTGAGATATTTAGCTCTTTCTAACATTTTCATCTCTTTGAAAATAGACAAAGCCATCTTCATTATCCTGAAAACTGTTCAAAATGTTCATAAATTATTATTGAACTTTTTAGCTTTTATTCTAGTTTTGTTTTTTAACTTCTTTTTGTCAATTTCAGCTTCTGTTAGCTTCAATTTGGCTGATTTTAATGTTTTTCTGCTTTTTAACTATTATTCTGCTACTTTTCTGCTATTCTTTTGCTAAATTAAGCTTTTTATGCTGCTTTCCAAAAATTTCATCAGTTTTTGTGTTTTTAGCTATTTTCTTAACAGATTTCAGCTAATTTAAGCTTTTTAAAGC